TAAAGAAGAAACTAAATGATGTTTGCTTTGCGGGTTTGTTTTTCTGTTGTTTTGTTTTCTGTTTTTGTTCAGTTGGTTGATTTTTGCTGGGGTGTGTGTGTGTGTGTATTTGTAAAATTCAACTATGAAGGATACAGAAACTATCGTCACTATTATTCATAATCTTCCTGTTTTTAAGCTAGGTTTCTGTTTTGTCTAGTTCTGTTTTTGAGGTGAGGTCTTCTATATTACGTGGGCTTGTCCTGAGCTCCTCAGCTCAAGCTTCTTACCTAAGCCTCTGGACTACTGAGAAGTACCGGTACACAACTCACCTCTGACTCCTAAGGTAGGTTTTTAAGAAGAAACAATGGAAGGTGAAAAGCCTGTAGACTTCTCAAATGTTTTGAAAATAGACCTTACTAGGCACGTGAATGAGGGCTCTAGATTTGGCCCCCAGCACCAGGAAAAAATAAACAGAAAATGCTCTAAGATCTTCAAAATGTATTCAGTTTTGTTTGGGGAAGAGTTTTAGTGTTAGGATAGAATTGGAGTCTAGAGGAGGAGTTGGTGGGGGACACTGGATGATTGGATTCAAGGCTATCACCTTGCAGTCCCTTTTCTCTGACTCCGATAACACTCACTTGTAAATAGCACTCAAGTAAACAAGAAAATTCAACACTGGGCTCTCCCTGCTCTTCCACCTACTTATGCAGAACTACCTGCTTGCTCCTTCACAAACCCAAGGCAGATTCCTTCAGCTTAGCCTGCCAGAGTACCACCTCCTGTCAACACTTGCCAAGCTGGCCATATAAAGAAAAAAACAAAACAAAACAGTGGGTCTTTGCCAATTCTGTGAGGCACCCATCCTACTTTGCAACAAGCCATAAAAACACCTTCTATTTGGCTGTGGGAGGGCTGGCTGCAGGTTTAAGGGCTGAGCCAATGAAGTATTAGCCAAATGCAGAGTATGTTGCGTCAGAGCCATGAGTGGGAGAATCCTCAGGCAGCCACAGGTGTGGGATCAGGTTATGAGACATGGGTGTGGGCTAGGTGGTGAAGGATGAGGGGTAGGAACCGGGAGTGTGGGTGGGGCCAGAGGTGGGCAAGGGTGGAGGAGGCAAAGAATAGGGCCCTGGCTGGGCTTGGGCATCGTCCTCAGATCAATGGCAGTGGCTTAGAATCCTCTACAGGTCACAGCCTCCTTTGAGAATCTGATGCAAGCACAGGAAAAAGCATAGTCTCAAAAGAGCTACAATTTCTGCACAATATCAGGGGCTTTCTAGAGCTGAGGAAGCCCATCCAAGGGTTAGGATTATGATGTACTGGTCTGGACAAGTACATTGGGAATTCTGAGAAACAAAACAAAATGAACCTTAGAGTAGCATTAAGATTTTGAGAATTTGTTAAATAAGAGACTGAGTGGGACTGACATGTTTGAAATCAAAGGTCAAAGTCCATTTGTTCTCTAAATGGGTTTTGTTTTGTTTTGTCTGTTAGTCTGGTATTTGGTTTTTTTAAGAGAGGGTTTTCCTGTGTAACTCTGGCTGGTCTGGATTTAATTTTAGACCAGGCTGGCCTTGGACTCACAGAGATCCACCTGCCTCTGCCTCCCTGAGCTCTGGGATTACAGCCGTGCACTTCCGGCTGCTTCCAGTTTTTTAATCTAATTTTTTATTTTATGTGCGTTGGTGTTTTGCCTGCATGTGTGTCTGTGTGAAACTTGTTGGATCCTCTGGAACTGGAGTTACAGACAGTAGTGAGCTGCCATATAGGTGCTGGGAATTGAACTTAGGTCCTCGGGAAGACCAGCCAGTGTTCTTAACCGCTGTGCCACTCTCTCTGGCCTCCAGTTTTTGTTTTGAAGATGTTTGAATTTGCACAAAGTTGCAAACTTGTGGCATTCTTGAGGGTTTTTTTTTTTTTTTCTTTTATGACCAGGTCTTGCTATGAAATCCAGGTAGGCTTCAAACTCTTTATTCTCCTACCTTTCCACCTCCAGAGGGCTGGAATTAGAATGCTGGAATCATCACGCAGGCTTTCAGGTATTTTGTTTATTTCATTGTCAGCCAGTGGGGTTCCATCTTTCAATGGATGGTCATGTTTTTGGGAGTCCATGGGGTTTGTTATTTGTTGTTTTCCTACGGGACCACTTGAGAATACAGTGTGGAAATTATTCATCCCCCAGTTCATCCCTCAACACTTGAAATTCTTAAAATCAAAGGGCTTTTCTTATTTAACCCCAATATGAAGCTTATACTTTCCAATTTAACATTAAAACATTAGTATTATGCAATATACTTCCATATTAAAATTACCCCAGTGAGAGTCCTGTTTTCTGTATTCTTAGCCCTCTATGACACACACACACACACACACACACACACACACACACACACATCCTGCTTTTTTTTCTGTTCCCTTTTGTTTTTGAAATAGGGTCTATTTGACCCCTGCTGGCCTGGAACACATTACAGAACCTAAGCTCTGCTCTTGCCTTAGCCTCCCAAGTGCTAGGATAATAGTCATGCACTCTTGTAACTGTACCTGACTTGATCCATTTATTTTGGATGTTCTTTCATTGCTAATTCTGAGTGATGAGGGTAGTAGAAATGCTGTGTCTCTCAAGGCTTTTGAGCAATAAAATGTGTGTGGTTTGTGTTATTTTTGCCCTTGGACAGGTCACACTCCATAGACCAGATCCAAATCCATGCTGATCTGCCTGCCTTAACCTCTCAAGTACAGAGGTTACAGAAATGTGACCAGCGTACCTGGCTGTATCCGAAAAAAACAAACAAGATCTTAGTATGTAGCCCAGGCTGTCTTTGAACCCACAGTCTACCCCTTAGGAAGGATTACAGTGTGTAGCCTCAGGGGTGACCCTCAGCCTCCTTTAATCTAGAGCGGCACCCCAAGTTTTCATTTTGTTGTGACCCTTTTTTTTTTTTTTTTTTTTTAGCAGTGCGGACTAGATGTTTTGCTAACTAACCCCTCAGTTTGGCTTTATCTGGTTGGATGCTGGGTGAGCCTTTTTGACAGGAGTAATTATGAGTGATGTATCCTTTCTCATTGCCTCACCCAGTTGGCCCCGTGGGTAATGTGACCTTCAGGGTCCCCTTTTGTAACCGGAGTGGTATCTGTGGGCCGGCTGATAGCACCATGTTCAATGAAGGCCTCCAGCTATGGCAGATACTAAGCGACCTGGTGTCTGAGAGCCCAGCCCCCCCACCCCATGCTTTCACATTGTGAACCAGGAGAGCACTCATGTCAAGTTGCAGTTTTATGAAGGACATGGACATGTCACTGAGTGAAGTATCGACTTCAGAGAAAGTGGTCGTTAAGGGGAGACTTGAAAAGGAAAGTCAGGTCATTTGTGGGAAGGCAGAGGTACCCACTGGCCAAGCTTAGAGGAAAGAAGGAACTGAAAGATGGACATGTGCAGGTCTCAGGGAAGGAAAGGAGGTAGAGTTTAATAACTGCATGAGCACGTAGTATCTTAACATTGAACAGTCCAAATTGTTTTGCATAGTTTAAGTCACTGCAAAGCTCTGTGAAACAGGTTTATGCTACAAAATCTGAACACAATAATTTAGAGATGTTGAGCCATTGGCTCAAACCTACATCACTTGTAAGCTACAGAACTGGGACTCGAACCTAGGGGCTGGGAGAGGAGATTCTTGTTGATAGACAGGAAAGCAAGATGGCCAGGAACCCCTAGGGATCAAAGAGAAAAGAGTATTCGAGACTCGTGTGCCCACCTAGCCAGCCATACCCAACCCCTAGCTTCTCCTTCCAGGCAGGACTCCTCACTCCCCAGCTCTCCCTCCTCTTAAACAAAAAATAGATATTTACAGTCTCAAAGTGTCTCCCACAAATTACCGGTTCAATACAAAAGGAGAAAATAGTAACTTTACCGGGAAACCATCTGGCGGACTCTAGTTTAACCAGTGGCCCACAAGATGACTCAGTGGGCTCTTATCTGGAGGGGACCTGGGAGGAAAGGGTAGGTTTAGGACTAGACTGGTCCTCCATGGAGAGAATGAGAAGTCTTGGGGCTGAAGAGGACTGTGGATGGCAGGGCGGGGTCCAGAGGTCGAAGAGAAAGAGTGAGGGTTTCTTGGGCAAGTCACCAAAGAGAAGGGGAAACAGCTAGGTGACAGGAAGGTCAGCCCGGGGCCAGTATGGGAGGTCGTGGTGGGTGGAGTAGGGGGCTGTGCTGAAAGCGGCGGGAGCCCAGGACGAAGGCTCCTGGGCGGGGGCCCGCAGGTGGGCTGGCGGACGACTACAGCGCCTGGCGGGTGGCGAGGTCGCTGAGGGGGCGGGCGCCGGCCGCAGTCCCCCCGCGCTGCAGGGGGCGCTGTTGGCTGGAGCGGGCCCGAGCTGGGCTGCGGCCGCTCCTGGCGAGTGCGGCCCCTTTTCCGGGTTTCCTCCGCCTCCTCCTCCTCCCTCTTCGTCGCCGCCGCCGCCGCTGCCCCTCTCCCGGCCGGTGGCTGTCGCTGCCGCTGCCGCCGCCGCCGCCTCTAGGGGCCGCGAGCCGAGCGGAGGCCGCCGCGGAGCACGAGCCCCGCCGTCTCGCCGGTCGCCGAAGGCCCCGGGCCGGCTCG